CTCTCCATCGCCCTACAATGCCCCACCCTGCACCGCTCCACATCTTCCCGCACCACTCCACATCTCCCTGCACCACTCCACCCCACACCGCTCCACACCTTCCCGCACCACTCCGCCACACACCACTCTGCATCTTCCCGCACCACTTCACATCTCTCCCACACCACTCTGCCCCACACCACTCCACATCTTCCTGCACTGCACCACGCTGCACCACCCCACACTGCATCTCCCCACACCGCCCTGCATCGCCCCGCACCACAGCATCGTCCCATTCCGGGGTGGGGCTGCACCCAGCAGCCGCTAATTCTTGGGGGTGATTAAACATACCAGACTGTACAGACATACTATATGTTTTAGCAATTAAAATTTAACTAAGTAATAAATAATGAAAAAAATAATGAGGACGTTCACCAGGTAATCCCTCCCCGAGATTTCTGAAGGAAGTTGGCTGCCATGCAACCATGATTAGTTTTTCTTTTAATTAATTCATTCTTGGTTAAGGATGTTTTAACAAAAAAATTAAAATAAGAAAACAGGTGGTTATTTTAAATAGAATCGCTGGTGTTTTAATTTTTAAAAAACCATGGTTGGTGACTACTAATTCAGTTATACATTCACTCTTTCACTGGTTTATTTTTCAAAGTGTTTGCTATTCTCGGGACTCGCAATTGTGGCATAAAACACCGGTGTGCACGATCTAGGGAAATACCGAATCACCTGCCGTTAGCTCTGCGTGCCGGGCCCTTCTGGTTCCCCAGAGAGAGGTTTAATAAACAGAAAGCCCTACGGCACTGCCAAGAGAAAAGCAGGGAAGGTTAAGAGCCCTGACACTTTCTCCTAATTATTACGTAAACTTGACCTAGAACTCTCTTCCCAGCTAGAGAAATTCCCGCCGCTGTGTCAAAAACAGGACAAGATCCAGGCTAATGAGACAACTAAAAGTAGCAGGCAACATTTCACTCAGCAGGTGGACAGAAGAAAACGGGGAATATTCTAGAACCCACCAAACACCGAAACCTGCAATCAAGAAAAACATGGGGGGGAGGACTTAATTTCCCCACTTGCCTTCCACTGCCAGGCCTTCATGGAGGAAGGCAAGTGTCTACTCACCCACGGGGATGGACAGTGTCACACACCGGCCTCGGGAGGCCACACAGACACTGCCGCGCTGCACCGGGGACTCCCAGCCAGTCCTCAGCGCTGGGCAAACGAAGCAAGAGCTGGCCTCACATCGCAGAGTTGCCTCTGGTGGTTGTTGGGCTGTCCTACGTTGAGATGGTGCCTACTGCTCTCCCCGTGTTCATTTGGCGACTGAAAAAATTAACATGTGTCCTGGTTTGAGCAACACAGGACTAATTTCTCTTCCAATGCCTGGGAAAACTGCACTTTTAGAAGACTCCAGTGTATGAATTTATGAAAATATTGACTTTATAGCCAGGCTACATGGGTTTCAAAGTCTCAGTGTTTTTGAGCTCACCAGGTGCAGGGATGAGGAGGAGCGAGACCCAGGCACTGCACCCAAGCTGCCAACAGGGTTATTTCATACTATGAATTGCACATTCAATATAAATTAGAGAGTTTGTTGAGAAGTGCTCTCTTCTATGATGGCTGATCCAGAGAACTTCTATCCCCAGTGCCGGAACCCTGAGCCCTTCCCTTCCTCCTGAAGCCACAGCGCTCACAGTGTCCCACATCGGCTGTCACTGCTGGGAGTGCACAGCTTCTATGGATAGAATAGGCTGAGGATAATCCTTGTGCATATTATGTTGGTATTGGAACCAACATTGGTTCTTCACACTGCTACTGTTTGATATTTTCCGTGCTGCAATATGCTCAGCGTCCCCGAGTGAGTGCCCTTGGATGGCAGGCCAACCACGTACAGTGGTGCACTGCACCAGGAGGATCGGGGCACAACGCAGCGCTCTGGCTGGACTATGCATGTGGAGCGATGTGTTAGCGTGTAAGCAGCCCTGGACCTGGTGCATAGTCTGATCCCAGCACTCTAACGGCACGTAACGACGGCCTTTCCCAGTAGAATGGTCATAGAATCATTGAATCATCTAGGTTGGAAGGGACCTTTAAGTTGAGTCCAACCATCAACCTAACACTGCCAAACCCACCACTAAACCATGTCGCTCAGCGCCCTGTGTAACCATCTTTTCAATACCTCCAGGGGTGGCAATTCCACCACTTCCCTGGGCAGTCTGTTCAATGTTTGATAACCCTTTCTGTGAAGAAATTTTTCCTAAAATCCAATATAGAACCATAGAATTGTCAAGGTTGGAAGGGGCCTTTAAGATCATTGAGCCCAACCATCAACCTAATGCTGCCAAACCCACCCATGTCCCTCAGCACCACGTCTGCCCATCTTTTAAATCCCTCCAGGGATGGCGATTCCACCACTGCCCTGGGCAGCCTGTTCTGATGTTTGGTAACCCTAGAGAGAGAATTGTTCTTTAGCCTTCAGGTGCTGCCTGTTCTAGCCTTCGCAGGTGTTGGTGACCACTGTGGACATGGCTGTTGGAGAAACATTCAGCACTCAGTTCTCTAATGTTCTCTGTCCACAGGGTGGAATTTAAGGAAACCTAAAGGTAAAGACTGGTACAGTCCCCATTTCTACCATCGAGCCAAAGACCCCTCAGCCGATAGGAACAGAGCCCTACAAGCTCTGTAGGTATTTTATTGGGTTTCCTCTCCCTTCTGCTATCCTGCTTTCAGCTCCGTGCAAGCCAGCAGACAGACGGACAGATAGATAAGGGTATGCTGTATTACCAAAGGGCATTAAAAAAGATAAACGGTTACAGTTTTCCCAATTGTTAGAGCATCACCAGAGCAAGCTGGAAGGAGATCCACCACCAAGGGCATGCTGGTGTGCAGACAGCATCGTAAATTATAGCATGTTTCAACAAAAAGGTGGTGAAGGTGCTGCCACGGCCAGAGCAACCTTCATCAAGCCTTTGAGTAGAAGAACCATTCTCTGTAGTTACGAGAGCCGACCTGCTCATCCCCTGGATGAAATTCTCTCACCGTGCAAGAAGCTGAAGGAGCCACATGACACCCCCGGAGCACAGAGGGGTGGTTCCACTCGATGAGCACATTAACACCCTTCTGTCCATGACCCCCCTCACCACTCCTCCAACTGATGTCAGGAACACTCAGCCACTAACCAACACAGAGCAGGACAGCGTGTCCGAGTTAATAGCTAGCCTTGTTTTTAAAAGGAAGATGAAAGAACCATTTTCTCCTAATAACAGCCATTATTTTCTTTCCGTATTTGTTAGTTCTGAGTGAGGAAGTTAAGCCCAGTTCTCCATGTTAACAGTTTGACTCTCAGGTTCTCAGATACTGAGAATTTTTTTACTTGTTTAAAATAAATGTTTGCAGGGGACTGTGGAAACATTTACATTGGCCTCCAGTTTTCTA